GTGTACTCCAGCTCGTCACAGGCACCCCCTAATTTGTCCCGGCTGACCCCCTCTAGCCCTGGATACCCCCCAACTAGTCCGTGGTGTCCTCCATCTAACCCAGGCAGTCCCCAGCTAGCCCTGGATGACCCCCAGCTAGCCCAAGCCACCCTACAATCGGCCCTGTGTGCCCCCACAATCCCTGGATGCCCCCCAGCTAGTCACAGGCACCCCGCACCTGGCCCAGTGTGTTTCCCACTAATCCAGAGTGTCCCCCAGCCAATTTCCAACACCCCACAGTTGGCCCTGAATGACCCCAGCTAGTTCTGGGTGTCTCCCACTAGCTCTGGATGCCCCCTACGTACTTTCCGAGGTCTTCCACTAGCCCTGGGTATCTCACAGGTAATCCCAGCTAGCCCCGGCTGCCCTTCGCTAGCCTCGGATGCTGCACAGGTCACTCTAGGTGTCCCCCACTAGCATTGGGTGCACCCAGGTAGCTCCAGGCGTCTTCCCCCAGCCTTGGGTGCCCGACTAGCCCAGACTCCCCCCAAATATTCCTGGTTGCCCCAAGCAGCCCCACGGCCCCACAAGCCACGCCCATTTGTTTAAACCACGCCCATTTTCCCTTCAGGCCCCGCCCACACACGGAGCCTCGGGCCCCGCCCCGCCGCTGAGCCCCGCCCCTCGGCTTAGTTCTCGCGACATTTGCGGGGGAGGGCGGTGCGAGATGTGCGGCGGCTGTGTGGGCACCGAGTACCCGGAGCGGGTGAGGGCGGGAGCGGGGGGCGTCGGCACCGGCACTGGTACCGGCACCGGCACCGGTCCGAGCCTCTGCTCCCGCCCTAGGGCACCACCTGCCTGGAGGGCGGATCTTTCCTCCTGAACTTCGTGGGGTGCGCGCAGTGCGGCCGCCGGGATTTCGTGCTGGTCAACAACCGAGCCGAGGACCTGCAGGGCGGGGAGGAGATCGTCACCTATGACCGTGCGCTGGGGGGCACCGGGGGAGCTTACGTGGATGGGGGAGCCTTTGGGCTCTGGAGCTTGGGGTTCTTGAGGGTCGGGGGGCTTGAGGGGAAGTTTGGGGTTTGGGTTTTTTGAGGGTGACATTTGAGGGATCCCTGAGCTATCCCTGGGATTCAGGGATCACTGAATGTTTGGGGTCTTCAGGGCTGGGAGGAGTCGGAGTTCGGAGAGAACCTTGGGTCTTGAAGGTCTTGAAAGATGCTGAAGGCTCTGGGGGACCTTTGGAGTCTGGAGCTTGGGCGATCTTGAGAGTTAGAGAGGGCTGGAGCGAACCTTTGGGATCTGGGGGTCCTGAACACTGGGGGACACAGGTGGAGGCCTTGAAGGTTGAGACCTGGTGGTAGCATTTGGATTCTGGGTGGCTGGAAGGGACTCTTGGGGTGTGGGGGCTCTCGAGGGCTGGGGCATGTTGGGGTGGGGGGCTCAGAGGTCAAAGGAGGGAGAGGCTTAAAGGAGGATTAGTTTGAGTAGGGGAAAATTTGAGGCCTCAATATCTGGGGGGTTCCTGAGGGTAAGAAGAGTCATTGCCCGGGAGGGGGTCTTAGGTTTTAGAGGGAGTATCAGCGAGCTGCCAATGGGCATTAAGAGGGGTGAGTTGCTGTGAGAGGAATTTTGTGGTCTTGATGCTTTGGGGACTGGGACATCTATGCCCTAGGTGTGAGGGCAGGCATGGAGGACTGGGGCTTGTCCCAAGAGATTGGGAGTGGGGGGATGCCCTAGGGACAATGCCCATGTCCTCACCCCACTGTCCCTTGCCCCACAGACCTGTGCAAGAACTGCCACCACCTGATCGCACGCCATGAGTACACCTTCAGCGTGGTGGACGACTACCAGGTTTGTCTCTTGTCCCCCAGAAGCCCTTTCTGACTCTGTCTCTGGAATTCCAGACGCACCCTTCTACAGGCTGATTCCTACCTTCCCTGGGACAGAGCCTCAGGATTCAGAGCCCCATCCCTGTGTTCAGGGCTACCTGGAGTCCCCCCAGCATTAGTCTGTGCCTTGTGGGGGAAGCCCAGCTCACCTGGCATAGGAATGTGGGTGATAGGAGGGGCTGTGACCCCCATTGCTCATTCCTGGCACATCTCCTATGCAGCAAAGGGCTGGAAAAAGGGCTCAGGGGAGCCGGTAGGGCTGGAAACGAGATCCCCTGGCTCTGATTGCAATCAGGGATCGGGTACCAGCTCTGGCTCAAGTTTCCGTATAGGGGGGGAGGGCTGTGACAGCCCCTCTTTTTCCAGCCTCCCCCCTTTTCCTTCCCCCAGGAATATACCATGCTGTGCCTGCTCTGTGGCCGTGCTGAGGATTCCATCAGCATCCTGCCTGACGACCCTCGCCAGATGACCCCACTGTTCTGATCCCCATGTGTATCCCAGGATGAGCTTCCAGGAGCTCTGGGAGATCCCCTGGATACCTGGCGCTGTAATTTCTGGGGACCACACAGTCCCTGACAGGATTTGCTCCTCCAAGCTTCCAGCCTGGATGAAGCGAACACCCAACACTGGATGCTCCCATGTTTCTGAAGCCTTTTGGCTCTGACCCTGACTGCAAGGATGGGATGCAGTGCCACGGTCCAAGTCCCCCATGTGCCGAAGACATAAAGGGGTCCCCAAAACAGGATCCAAAAGGATTCCCATCCCATCCCGCCTCAGGAGCCCTCATATATGGAGTAATAAATGTGATGTGTGACAGCTCGGTGGCACAAGCAGGAGTATTTTGGGAGTGGGCTTCGCCCCCTGGAGGTGGTGAAGGGTGTTGAGGGCTGATGGAAGAGGCTTTCTCCATCCTAGGAGCCTGTGGGATTCTTCCTTGGCCCTTCCCAGCACTGGAGAGTCCACTACACTCTCCCAGTGCTCTCCTAAACCGTGCAGAGAAAGGACTTGGATGATTTTCCCTTCCCGTGTAGTTGGTTTGGGGACACTTTCCCCTGCCCTAGGGTTTGGAACCTGGCCCTGCCCTGCTGGGAATTCCCTATTCCTGAGGCAGGAAGGAGCTGGGTGTGAGAAATCACTGCCCTGGGGTGGGTGAAGTGTTGCTTTTGGCACCCAGCCCCAGCTACACCCATGGGGAACTTCCCTGAGCCTCCATTTCCTGGATCTGGTACTTGAGGGCTGTGTCCTCCTTCCTGTTGCCCCAAAGAGCCCCCAGAAACCACATGGGTATGGGCATGTTTCCAAAAACCTCATGGATCCATTTACTCTCCCAAAAACCACATGGATCCAGGCAGGCTCCCTGCGGCTCATTTATTGCCACCAGCCCACGCCGCCCCTGTGGCTCCAACCCTCTGCCCCCATCAAGCCCCCTCCCCACGGAGGTTTCAGAGGGGGCTGTCACTCTGCGGAGAGCTGGGGCCATCCCGGGGTGACGCCGGAGCCAGGATCACACCAGAGCCAGGATCACACCAGAGCCAGGATCACGCTGGAGCTAGGATTACTTGGCCAGCTTGAGGAGACGCTGGATGTCAGGCTCCAGCTGGGCTGTGGGCACACGGGGGCTGTAGCGCCGGAACGGTTCCCCTCAGGCCCCACCAGGAACTTCTCAAAATTCCAGGAGATATCGGAACGCCGCACAGGGCTCCAGACGACAAAGCGGGGCTCAGCCATCAGGTGTGCAGGCTCGTCAGCCGGCGCGGGCAGGTGAGCCTTGAGGTAGGCGAACACAGGATGGGTGTCACTCCCGTTCACCTGGCACTTCTGGAACAGGGTGAAGTTGGGCTCGAAGCCACCCCCGGGCCGCACGTGCTTCAGGGTGTTGAGGATCTCCTCGTTGGTGCCGTTCTCCTGCAGTGGAGAAGGAGAAATCCAGAGCCCTCTGGAGTTTCCCAGCTCCTCACCCCCTGCCTCGTAGCCCATAGGACTTACCTGGTATCCAAACTGGTTGCAGGGGAAGCCCAGCACGACCAGCCGTCGGGGGTAGCGGGCTTGGAGTTGGTTGAGCTGGGTGTAATCCCGCACTGTGGTGCCTCAGAGCGAAGCCACGTTCTCGATCAGGACCACACGGCCCCGGAAAACACCAAAATCCACCTTTTCCCCCTGCAAGGAGGTGGCGCTCAGGTCATAGAAGGACTTTGCGATGGGGACGGTCATGGTTGCAGGTGTGCGGTGGCTTGTGCCCCGTGCTCTGCACCGCCTCTTAAGGGCTTCCCGGTGCTCACGTCACGGTCCAAAGGTCTCCAGGCCCCGCCACGGCTCAGGAGAAACCTGAGCCGCCCATCCCACCCGTGGAAGGAGGAAGGTGGCACGGGGCCAAGGCGATGCTCTACCTGCCTCAATAATTCATGGCACGGCGCGCTGCGGCTGCTCATCCTAGTGTCTGCGGGATGTGGGATGCTCCCAGTCTGGCACGGCATGTTCCCGAGGGTTGGGAATGATGGTGAGAGTTGGGGAATAACAGGAGTCAGGGAATAACGGGAATCTGTGAGCTGGACCTCTGTGGGGCAGAGGAGGAGGGGACAAGTGTCCCAGTACTCTTCTTTGCTTGGTGCTGCCATATAGCATCACCTCCGGGACCTCCTGTGCTGCCCATCCCAGTGCCCACCAGTCTTGGGGCCCACTGGTCCCAGTACCAGCTCCACCCTTGGGTCTATCTGCTGTAGTGCCCGCCGTTGTCATGTGGTGCCCATCCCAGTGCCTGGCAGCATCCTGGTGTCCACCTAGATGCCAATAGGTTCCACTATCTTACTGCCCACCATCATCCCAATAACTGCCCATCCCTGGCTGCCACCATCCCGCTGCTGGCTCATCCCAGTGCTGCCACCAAGTTTTCCGACCCTGTTCCCACAGCTGTGGCTGAGCTGGTAGCCTGGCAGGCCGTGGTAGTGGCCAGGACACTCCACGGGCAACATGCCCCATGTCCCTGTGCCCAGCCTGGAAAGGGGACACCATGCCGGCAGCCCCAGACCACCCTTAATTATTGATCACCGCTCGGGTGTCCATGCCCAGGCTGTGCCTGCCGCCATGGCATCATGCCCACAGCCCCCCTGGAGCACACGGACCACCAGCCCCTCCAGCATCTCCTTTATTCTGCAAACCACTGTGTAAAACCAGGGATCCCACGGGCACGGGGTGGCACAGGGTGGGCACACAGCGCCTGTACACCCCCCACCCTACCCCCAAGCCAAGGAGGGCACAGGCACCAAAATGGGGGCCCCCCTTGCCACCTTCCCTGTCCCTGGGGGTGTCCCGTGTTGCCCCCCACTCTATGGGGGCTGCCTCAATCCTGCCCCTACCATACCCCCGACACAGCCTGGGGAGGAGGGGTCACAGCGTCCCAGCCTTCAACACCAACAGGTTTTGGGGGTGTCCTCGCTCCCCAGGGGCTGCTGCTCATCCTCCTCCAGCCGGGCCAGGGTGGGGGCGTGGGGCAGCCCCCGCAGCTCGTCCAGCTCCTTTCGGTGTGCCTGCAGCACCAGCTCCGTCAGGCGTGTGAAGGACTGTGGGAGAGGGGTGGGGTGAACCTGGGGGACCCCTCCAGTACCCCCTGACCTCTCCAGGTCCCCCAGGCCAGCCCCAACCCCCTCAGAACCCCCCCACCCAGTCCCCTCATACCTCCTTGATGTTGAGGTTGCTGCAGGCACTGGTCTCGTAGAAATCCATCCCGTATTCCCTGGCCAGCTGTGGCACCAGGGGTTTGGCAGGGAGGGGGAGTAGCGTGATTTGGGGGGAGGGGGGATTCAATACCCCTTCCCCCCTCTCTGGAACGTGAATAGCCATGTATGGACAGACAGGAGAGCTGCAGGGGGGGCTGGCATAGGGGCACATCTGGGGTTGGGTGCAGGGGGCCCTGGGAGGGGTACTGGATGCTTTGGGGTCCAGAGGTCACTGGTAGGGATACTGAGAGACACTGGGTGCTTTAGGGGGGCAGAGGAGCACGGTGGAGGTGCAGGGAGGGGTTGGGAGTTGTTGGACGCCCTGGGGTAGCACTGGGCAGTAAATGGGTTTCCTGGGTGCTCTGGAACTGCAGGGGGAGGTCAGTGGTCCCTGGGTTCAGACTGCAGGAGCATGGGAGGGGTCACTGGATACAGGTAGGGATGTTTGGGGGCCCCTGGATACAGGTAGGACTGCAGGAAGGCTGTTGGGGTCCATGTGGAATGCAGGGGGACTTGTGGAGGGTCTGGCCATCCTGGGATTGCAGGGAGATGCACTGTGTGCTTTGAGGGTCAAGAGGTCCCAAGGAGGACACCGAGGAGGTCACTGTGTGCTTCAGGGGTGCAGGAGAGAGGTTAGGGGTCTCTGAACATTTTGCAAGTGGGGAGGAGGGAGCCTTGAGGGTGCAAAACCACTGCAGGGATGGAGGGGAAGAGGGTTCCTGGATACTGGGGGAGGTAGTTTTGGAATGCCTGGGTTCAGACTGCAGAAGGTGGGGGTCCCTGGTCATGCTGGGAGGGGTTGGGGAGGCTTGGGGGTCCCAGATAGAGGTAGGGCTGCAGGAGGGCTGTGGGGGTCCCGAGTGCAGAGGGGGCTCAGGATGAGGCTGGCCATGCTGGGGGTGCAGGAGAGGTCCTGCCCCCTGGGGTGGGGGCACACAGCAGCCCCCGCTCACCTGCAGCCCTTGCTCTTTGGGCACTTGCCTCTTGTGCTCCTCATCCGCCTTGTTCCCGATGAGGATTTTCTGGACACCATCGGGTGCGTACTGGGAGGGGGAACAGTGTAAGAACCCCTCCCAACACGGTTGGGAAACCTCCAGACCACCCTTGGGAACCCCCACCTCATCCACGTCGCTGGCCCACTTCACGATGTGCTGGTAGGAGCGCTCGCTGCTGATGTCATACACCAGGAAAATGCCCTGTAGGGGGTGGGGGGTGGCTGTTGACACCCCAAAAGTGTGCCTCAGTTTCCCCTCTCCTGTGTACCAGGACCGGGAGCCCCCATACCTGTGCCCGCCGGTAGTACTGCTTGGTGATGGTCTGGTACCGCTCCTGGCCGGCTGTGTCCCTGCCCAGCGACAGCGGGTCAGTGCCACAGCACCAGCCATGGCATGAGTTTGGCAGGGCTCAGCCCTTACCTTGGGTGGGGGGAGCAGGACTCAGACCCCCCCAAAATTTCTTCCCTCTTCCCCCCGGGATCCAGTGCTGCCACTCACCAGATCTGTATCCGCACCTTGATCCCATCCACCTCGATGGTCTTCATCTTGAAGTCGACACCTGGGATTGGAATGGGAGAGGTTGTGGGGTGTCCTGGTGTTTGCAGGAATTGCTGTCACCGGGGGCCGTCTGGTCCCTTCACTCCTTCTGACCCACTCCACGCCCCACCATGGCCTGGTCCTGGTCCCCACACCCAGTGCCTGGCCTTGCAGATGGTGCCAGGTGGTGATCCTGGTGCTCCCAGTTCCCCTGGTGCTGCAGCTCTCCAGCTCTCCCAGTTCCCCAGTGCTACGGCTTCTCGGTGCTGGGGCTGCCCAGTGCTCTCAGTTTCCAGCTGCATGCTGCTCCCGGCTCCCCAGAGGTGCCTCGTCCTCCTGATTCTCCCATGCCCATGATTTCCTGGCTCCCTGATGCTCCTGGTTCCCGGGAGCTCTCCGGAGCCCCCGGGTTCCCAGTTTCCCTATGCTGCAGCTTCCCACTGGTCCCGGCTTGTGGATGCCCACAGTTTTACCGTTTCCTGATGCCCACGGCTTCCCGGTTTCCCAGTGCTGTGACTCCCGGTGCCCACAGTTTTCCCTCTCCCTGGTGCCCGGTTTTCCTGTTCTCTGGTTACCTGTTTCCCCATGTTCCTAGTGTTGCAGCTCTCCCAGTACCCACGGTTAACCCTTTCCCGGTGCCCCCGGTTTTCCCGTGCCCACCACCGGTTCCCCTGTTCCCACGACTCCTGAGTGCCCTGGTTTCCCGTTTTTCCGATCCTGTGGCTTCCCAGATCCTCGGCAGTCCCGGTTCTCTGGTGCCCACGGATTTCCCCTCCCCTGGGTTCCCGTTTCTCGGTTGCTGCATCTCCAGCTTCTCCAGTTCCCATGGTTTGCCCGCTCCCCCGTTGCCCATTTCCCCGTTTCCCCGGTACTGCGGCTTCCCAGTCCTCACGGTTTCCTGGTGCCCACGGCTCCCCAGCTCCCCGGCTTCCCTTTTCCCCGGTAATGCGGCTCCCAGTGCTCCCGGTTACCCGGTGCCGCGCCTCCCCATTGCTCCCGATTCCTTGATGCTCCTGGTTTCACGTTTCCCCGGTGCCGCGGCTCCCCGTTTCCCCGGTGCTCCCGGTTCTGTGGCTTCCCGTTTCCACGGTGCTGCGGCTCCCAGTCTTCCCGGCTGCCCGGTTTCCCGATGCTCCCGTTTCCCCGGTGCTGCGCCTCCCCACTGCTCCCGCTTCCCCGATGCTCCCGGTTCCCCGTTTCCCCGCTCCCGCCGCCGCGGCCGCCGTGCGCTGCCGGTGCCGGTACCGATGGTGGAGATGTGGGCGGGGTGGAACTGGTTGTCGGTGAACCGGCACAGCAGGCAGGTCTTGCCCACGCCCGAGTCCCCGAGCAGCAGCAACCGGAACAGCACGTCGTACTGCTTGGCCATGGCGGGCCCGGGCCGCCGCCGCCGCCGCCACACCGGGGCCGCTCCGGGGCCGCGAGCTGCGCCGCCGCCGCGCCGGGCCGGGCTGGCACCGGGGGATGCACCGGGGCGGGGCGGGGCGGGGGCAGCGGCGGCGGGAGGGGGCACCGGGAGAGGAAACGAGGGGGGCGACACCGGGGATGGACCGGGGGATACTGTAGGGAGCGGGGAGGGGACACCGGGGATACACCAGGGATACACCGGGAGATGCTGTGGGGAACTGGGCGGTGACACGGGGGATGGACTGAGAGGAGAGCTGGGGAGAACGGGGGACGGAGCCGGGAATGCACCGTAGGATATGTTGAGGATGCTCTGGAAAACCGGAGGTGGGAGACAGGCGATATACCAGGGGGATCAGCGGGAACTCCCGGGGCTCTGGGAGTACCAGGGATGTACCTGGGATTGCTCTGGGGGCATTGGGAACGGGACAAAGGGGTGCAGCAGGGGACACTGGGGTGACATAGAGCTGCACCAGAGGACTGGTGACACTTAGGAAGGATGGGATGGCACCCAGCAGGACCTGGACAAGGGTGAGATTCCCATGGGAACTTTGTGGGAGTAAACAAGGCCAAGGACAGGGCTGGTACATGGATTAGGACAATTCCCAAGATAAATGCAGGATGGGAGGTGGGATGGAGAACAGCCCAGATAAGAGGAATTTGAGGGGGATGAGAAGCTGAATATGACCTGGTGACGTGTGCTGGCAGCCCTGGAAAGCCACCCATGTCCTGGGCTGTGTCACTTGGCAGCATGGGCAACAGGTGAGGGGGGATTGTCCTCCTCTGCCCCACTCCAGTGAAACCCCACATGGAGCACTGTGTCCAGCCCTGGGGTCCTTGTCATGGGAAGGACAGGGAGCTGCTGGAGCAAGTCCAGAGGAAGCCACAGAAATCCTCCAAGGGTTGAGAATGGGCTGGGAGAGCTGGGATTGCTCAGCCTGGAGAAGAGAAGGAGCTCCAAGAGAGATGGAGAGGGACTTGGGATGAGGCCATGGATTGACAGGACAAGGAGGAATGTATCTGAAGTGGAAAAGGGGAGGTGTGGATTGGATATTAGGAAGAACTTCTTTACAATGAGGGTGGTGAGGCACTGGAGAGAAAATATAGACGCCTGGAAGCATCCAAGGCCAGGCTGGAGCAACCTGATCTAGTGGAAGGTCTCTCTGCCCACGGCACAGGGTGGAACTGGATGGGTTTTCAGGTTCTTATCAACCCAACCCATGGATGCTACGATGATGCAATAAATGACGTCACATCACGATGACGCAGCGGCCCCGGGAGGAGGGGACTAGGGGAGCTCCTCTGCGCACGCGCGCCGGGCCGGGCGTGACCAGGAAAGAAGGGGCGTGGCCACCAGGAAAGGGGCGTGGCCACCCGGGGAGGGGCGTGACCGCGCGCTGTGGGCGTGACCAGGAGCGCGGCCGCGCGTCCCCTCCCGGCCGCCGTCGCCCGCTGCCCCCGCGGCCGCAGCATGGCGGGAGCGGCCCCCGGCTCCGGCGGGCGGCGGCGGCTGCGGGACGATGGGCTGCGCACCTGCACCTCCGCCGAACAGGTACCGGGGGGCTGCGCTGCGCGCTGTGGGGTGCCAGGCTACCGTGGGGCTGGGCTTTGGGGGTGTCGTGGAGGTGGGGTGTGGGCCTGGGCTTTGGGCTCTGGGACGGGACTCAGGGGTTCCGTGGGGTTGGATGATCCCTATCCCAGTATCCCCACGCAGCTACTGTCCCCACACCCCCTGTGAAAACAGCCCAACAGTGACCAGTGTTTTGGGGGGCCCGGCGGTGCTGCCGCCCGCCAGCCACGGCAGCTTCCACGTCCCCCAGAACCAGCTGGGGGAGGGTGAGGGGTCCTGGGGCAGCCAGACTCTCCCCTCCGTTCCTCTATCCTGAGCCAGCCCCTGGCAGCTCCCCTGGGTGCTGGGATGGGGTAAAAAGTGACTCCGGGTTTCCCAATCTATGGGTTTCTTGCTCAATTGTGCCCTGGCAGGACACAGTGCCATGAAGGCAGGTCCCCGTGCGGCCCCTCCTCACCCCCGAGGCTGATCCTGGGGTATTTCCTTGAGGATTACCGTGGCTTAGAGTGTCCAAGTCCCCACTTACCCCAGCGTGAGCAGGAAGAGAGTGTTTTCTATGACAGTCTTGCATTGAACCAAATTCAAGCTGTATTTCTAAAGCAGCACGGGATGGTGCTGGATTCTGGCATAATTTGGGGTACAAAGCTCCTGGGAATTCCTACTTTGGTTTTACTGGATGAGACGGGGCTGTGAATCAGATAAACCCCTGGGATGGGGTAGAAGTTGCAGGGATCATGTTTGGGATGTGTGGAGCCTCTTCCCAGAGCTCACCATAGTCTGTATTCCCATTTTTCCTTACAAGTCCAAGGTGGAGGACATCGTGCAGGAGGTCTATGATGCCTACAAGACAAATCATCACTCCTCACAGTCAGTATCAAAACTCTCACTAACCATAAAGAACTCCCATCCCAAAAGACCCATTGACCCCAGTGGGTGCTGCAGTAGGATTCTGCCCCTCCTGCCACTGTCCCCCTGCTTTTTCAGGCCACCCTGCCTGCTCATCCTATCCTCTCTGTATTCCAGGTACGTCCTGCAGCGGGAGAAGCACTTCCATTACCTGAAGAGAGGTCTTCGGCAGCTCACTGAAGCCTACGAGGTACTGGGAATGCCAGTTGTGCTACCTGGAGCCACTGGCTAGGGGAACCCCTTGCCCTGGGGCTGTCACCAGGGTTGTTTGTTGCCGGGGGTTTGCCAGCCCCAGAGTGGACACAGCATTCCCGGTGTGCCCACGCGCATCCTAGCGATGATCTGGGGGTTCTCCTGGCTGTCTCCTCATTCCTGCCTGCTCCTGCTGTGCCCAGTGCCATTCGCTGACTGTCCCCTCTGTCCCTGCAGTGTCTGGATGCCAGCCGCCCCTGGCTCTGCTACTGGATCCTGCACAGCCTGGAGCTGCTGGATGAGCCCATTCCCGATTCGGTGGCCTCTGAGTAAGTGGGGAGAGCTGGGGGGACCCCACCATGGCCACTGTCGCTGCTGGCCACCCGCGTGACTCCGGAGGTGCCACCTCCCGCTGTCCCCAGAGCAAAGGAGCGCTTTGTCTCCCTGCCACCGTCAATGCCGCCCATTCTTCCGGCGGCTTCCTCGTGACGACGGAGATGGGAGGGTGACACCCCCGGCTTCGACCTCGGGGAGATTTACGAGGCTGGGAGGGGATGCATCACCCCAGTGGGGTGACACAGGTGACGCTGAGCCCCTTCCCCACCTTCCTGCAGTGTCTGCCAATTCCTGAGGCGGTGCCAGAGCCCCCAGGGTGGATTTGGGGGGGGTCCCGGCCAGCACCCCCACCTCGCCCCCACCTACGCCGCCGTCAATGCGCTCTGCATCATTGGCACCGAGGAGGCCTTCAGTGTCATCGACAGGTCCGGGGGCCGGAGGAGCTGGGTGGGAGGTGGGGTGCATGTCCCCCCCTCTCACAGCCATGCCTCCTGCAGGAAGAAGCTCTTGGAATACCTGTACTCGCTGAAGCAGCCGGATGGCTCCTTCCTCATGCACGTGGGTGGAGAGGTGGATGTCAGGTGGGTGACGGCTGCATGGACAGGCTGTTTTGGAGGGTCTGGGCATTTTGGGGAGCCAGTGCTGGAAGCAGATGCTATGGTGGGGAGCTGGTGCCATTCTGGGGATTTGGTGCTGGGTAGCTGGTGATGTTTTTGGGAGCCAGTATCATTTTGGGGAGCTGGTACTATGGTGGAGAGCCACTGGTAATTTGGGGTACAGTTTTGAACAGTCTGTTTTGGGAAACAAGTGCTGGGAGCTGGTGCCATTCTGAGGAGCCAGTGCCATTGTATTTTGGGGAGTGTCTGGTGCCACACTGGACTACCAATGCCGTTTGGGGGTGCTGATACCGTGGTGGGGAGCCAATGCTATGGGGAGGTGTAGTTCTGGGGAGCCAATGCTGTTTTAGGGTGCTGGTGCCATGGCAGGGGACCAGTGACACAAGGTACTGCCATGACAGGGTGCTGTTGCAGGGAGCCAGTGCTGGAACAGGGACCTTGTGCATTTTGGGGAGTCAGTGTAATTTTAGGGAGCTGGTACCACTTTGGGGTGCCAGTGCCACATCCCTGAGCACATATCTCCTGAATCTCTGGGCACCCTGTTCCCGCAGGAGCGCCTACTGCGCCGCCTCAGTGGCCTCACTGACCAACATCCTGACACCCACACTCTTCGCTGGCACGGCCGAGTGGATTGCCAGGTGAGATCTGGGGACAGATGTGGGACAGAGAATGACATTCCCGGTGTCCCTGCTGCCCTGACCCAGCTCTCACAGGTGCCAGAACTGGGAGGGTGGGATTGGCGGCGTGCCGGGCATGGAGGCGCATGGCGGCTACACTTTCTGCGGCGTGGCCGCGCTGGTCATCCTCAAGCAGGAACATCTGCTGAACCTCCGGAGCCTGCTGGTGGGTGACCCCTCTCTGGGATACTGAGGCTCTCATCCTGCCGGGGATCTTTGGTCCCACACTGGTTCCCATCACCCTGCAGCACTGGGTGACCGGGCGGCAGATGCGCTTCGAGGGCGGATTCCAGGGCCGCTGCAACAAGCTGGTGGATGGGTGTTACTCCTTTTGGCAAGCCGGGCTCCTGCCCCTGCTCCATCGGGCGCTCCATGCCAGGGGTGAGTTGACACAGGCTTCCTCTGTCCCCAGAATGGCATCTGGAGGGATTTGACAATTTCTCTGGTGTTTCTCCTCTGGGTTTCCCTTCCAGGCGATCCAGCGCTGAGCATGGCACACTGGATGTTCGACCAGCTGGCACTGCAGGAATACATTCTCCTGTGCTGCCAGTGCCCAGCTGGAGGGCTGCTGGATAAGCCAGGAAAGTGAGTGCAGGGGGAAACACAGGGCTGCCTGGCATAAGGGATGCCCAGATGCCCCCTCAGCATCCCAGTATCTCCTTGCATGCAGATCCCGGGATTTTTATCACACCTGCTACTGCCTGAGTGGGTTGGCCATTGCACAGCACTTTGGAAGTGGAGACCTCCACAATGAGGTGGTCCTGGGTATCCCTGAGAATTGCCTGGTAAGTGCTAGGCATCGCTGGGGTGGGCAGGGATGAGCTTCCAGCGCTCCACAGCACTGAGAAAGGCAGATCCAATGGCAGTGAAAAGAGTTGGGGTTCAGCCTGGAGAAGAGAAGCCTTCAGGGAGAGCCTAGAGCTGCTTCAAGGGAGTTGGAGTTGGGCTTTGGACAAGGGCTTGGAGTGACAGGACAAGGGGGAATGGCTCCAAACTGGAAAAGGGGAATTTTAGATGGGATATGGGAAAGGAGTTCTTTCCTGTGAGGGTGCTGAGGCCTTGGCACAGGTTGCCCAGAGAAGCTGTGGCTGCCCCGTCTCTGGAAGCATCCAAACCCAGGATGGACCAGGCTTGGAGCAACCTGGGATGGCAGAGATTCCCTGTGCACAGTGGGTTGGACTTAGGTGCCTTCTCACCCAAACCATTCCAGGACTCTGTGACTAACATGCACCATCTCTCTCCCACAGCAGGCCACACACCCCGTCTACAACATCGCCCCGGAGAAGGTGGCGAGGGCGGTGATGCACTTCCTGCAGTATCCCGTGCCCAGCCTGGATCCAACATCCGCTGCCGAGTAGGGGGGTCCTGCTGCTGGCTCGGGGTGCCGAGCCCCGAGAGCAAGCGGCACAGCCCATCCCCGCGGCGCCTGGCCAGGCAGAGCACGGTGCTCAGGGTGCTAGCAATACCAAAATCCAGCCTGCTCCAGGCCTGGTGTCCTGCTGCCATCCTGGCCAGAGCCACGGTGGGACACGGGCTCTGGCAGAGCTTTTTGGCATCAATAAACCAGAAGTCACACCCGCCGTGTGCTGGTGGCCCCGGGGATGCGGGCCAGGAGGTGATGCCATGTCTGGATGCGGTGGCACCAATTTCCCCCATTCCAAGAACACATGGTAACCACAGGGAAGGATAAAATAAGTGGAATTTTGGCTTTTTTTGTTTATTATTTATAGTCTTATAGTAAAGGGAAGCCTTAACTTGCAAGACAACTCTGGGCAGTATGTACAACATACCTTAGATCCATGGAATGGCATCAAAATGGGGGGAAAAAGGGGCACCTACGGGTCAGGGACGGGCCACTGGAGTTTGGAAAATGCCATGGAGGTTGGGAAAGGTCAAGGGAGGGGAGGACTGGGGAAGGAGCCCCCAAGCCTGGCTCTGTGCTCCGCCGACTCGGGCAGGTGGAGTTGCACACGGAGAAAATAAATAGGGAGATTTCCCCCCCCCCAGTGCTTGCTCCTTTTTAGGGGGGGCTGCCTGGCTCCTCCCCGTTCTGGACTGCACTGGTCCCCGGGTATAAATAGAAATGCTCCTATAAAACCAGGAGGGAAGGGGAGGGGGGTCACTAGCGGAGAGGAGTTGGCGGGGGAGTCTCCCTGACCCCCCCCAAGTCTTTCTGCTCGGCCTGGCCAGCTCCCCCCGGGGCCGGCGCCGTGGGAGCAGGGAAGGGGCCGGGGAGGGCTGGGAAGCTGCAGTCCAAGAGCTTCTAGGAGCGGAGGGAGCGAGTCCTGCCGCAGGCCAGGGGGCGGCGGAGGGGCCTAACTGGCCTCCATGCGCAGCTTCTTCCTGTTCTGCGGCTCGTCGGGCTCCGAGTCGGAGCTGGAGTCGGAGCCACCGTCGAAGGCGGAGATGGCACTGCCCTTGGGGTTGGTGTAGAGGCTGTTGTCCGCGGGATAGCTGGCCTGGAGCTGGGCGCTGGCTCGGGCCTTCTCCAGCGCACGCACTGTGAGGGACAGCACTGTCACCCCTGGATCTGGCCCTGCCTGCAGCCCAGCTCCCAACAGGTCACAGCTCCCACTGGATCCTGGATGCAAACTCCTCTAGACCACAGATTCTGCCAGACCCTAGCTCCCACTGAATTCCAGACCCTGCCAAACTCTGGTCCTGCCAGACCTCAGCTCCCACCAAATCCCAGCTCCCAGTGATTTCAGCTTCCACCCGATCTGGATTCTGATGGATCATTATCTCCTGCCAGACCCCAGCTCCCACTGGATCTTGGATCCCAAACCCTACTGGACGCCAGATCCTGGCTCCCAAAGCCTGCCAGGCCCCAGACTGCATCTCAGACCCTTCCAGACCCCATCTCCAGCCAGATCTCAGCTACAACCTTGCTGCTCCAGCAGTGCATTCTGCCGCTTGAGGTCGTCGATGTCCTGCTGGTGTGTGTGGTTTTTCCGGCGCATGTACTGGATGTACTCTGTGGCTTTGTCCAGGATTTGGGCCCGGGATGCCTGTTGCAATAGTGGGAAAAGCCAGAGGCAAGATAAAGACCTAGTCCAGGGGGGAAAACTGAAATTTTACCTGCCTCATCCCACCCTGGCTCTGGTCTTCACTGGGGACTCCCGTGGTGCAAGAGAGCCTCGGGAATGTCCCAAATCGAGGAGCCTGGAGCAGGGGTGGGTGCTGTCTGTGTCCCCAGCACGCTCCATAAACTCACCTTCTCTCCTTGGAGTGAGGGCACGGAATCCCGCAGGCTGTGGAAGCTATCTTTGATGTGGTCCCTGCGCTTGCGCTCCAGCGCGTTGTGATGAGCCCGTTTGTCGGCCTGGGAGTGGGGGGACAGGGGTGGCACTGGGAAGAGGCCACCACCTGCACCCCTAAAATTCCCTCTGGGAATCGCTGTGGGAGCTCAGCTGAGCCCCCAGGGCGGTTCCGTGGCCGTAATGCCTCTGGCTGGGCCGCGAGGGCGTGGGAAGGAGGCGGCTCCCAGTGCTTTCGGTTTCCTCAGCTTCCTGCTGCCGGGGCAGCTCCTCCGGACCCCGGGAGGGGTACGGCACTTTCCCCGTGGAACACGGTCACCTCCTCCCCTGCTCCCCAACCAACCAGTCACAAGCTCCCCCCATGTCTTCTGTCAACCCCTTATGTTGTTCCCCCTGGGCCCCCAAATGTAGCCCCACCCCCCCCAAATGACTCGGCCCCACATATCATGCCCCCCAACACCCCCGCTTTACCCTAGAAAGCCTCCCACTCTCCCTCCCCTAAAGAGGCCTGGACTCTCTTCCACCCGACCCCAAGCCCCACTGGTGTCCCCCCCATAAGACCCCCAGCCCCACAGGACATCCCCAAACCCAGAAGACATGACTCCATGGATCCCCTTTCTGTGTCACAGCCCTTGATCCAAATAAGACCTCCAAGCCCAGAGGTGTCCCCTCTCCAAGCCCAACCCTCTGCCCCAAAAGACCCCCAGCCCTATTGGTGTCCCCTCCTTCCAAGAATCCCCACAGGACAACCCCCAAGCCCAGATTTCTCCCCCAAGACCCCCATTCCCACAGATCCCTCTCCATGTCACAGCCCCTGCAGAAGACCCCAGCTCCAAAAGTGTCTTCCCCTCAGAAAAGACCCCCAACCCCACTGGTGTCCCCGTCAGCACCCCAACCCCACCGGTGTCACCCCAACACCCCGATCCCCACAGGACACGCCCAACACCCCCATCACCCCAGGCTCCCCATTCCCCCAGTGCCCTTCCATGTCACCCCCTCCCCAAATCCCGCCCCCCTCACACCCCCGCCCACGTGCTCCCCATCCCGGGGCGCTGCGGAGCGGCCCCCAGCGACCTACCGCGGACTGGAACCTCGGCTGCTCCTCCTGAGGAGCCCCGACCGGAGCGAGGAGGAAGAGGAAGAAGATGGTGGTGGGGGGGGGGCGCCGCCATATGAAGGAAGAACACACACAAACCAAACATTACCCCATTCCCAGAGCTCCTGATGTGGGGAAGAGCCACGGGGGGTTATCCCAGGGGTTGTCCCGGGGTTGGGGGCCCAACTCACGTCGCTCTCCACCTCGATGTCATCGTTGTCGCTCATCGCTCCCGCCCGGGTGAAGCCGCGGCCGGGCCGCGCCGCCACAACAACAGCCCGCACCGCGCATGCGCGGAAGTCGGCGGGGGGGCAATGATGGCGCCGGGCGACGTGAACGGTTGTGGGAGTTGTGGTTTGAGTGGGGAGATGGACTCATCTTCCACGTGGCGGGGACTACAACTCCCGGCGTACACAGCGCGGGGCATGCCGGGAGCTGTAGTCTCCGCTTCGGGAAGGGGACGCTGAGGGTGCGCAGCTGGAGAATGGAGGAGGTGAGGTCCAAGGACACGGAGGGAGGGGTTTATTGAAGGAAAATGGGGATGGGAGAGGTCGAGAAGTCTGTGGGGCCGGCCTGGGGGGGCTGCAGGCTGAACTAGCGGGGCTCTGGGACAACCTAGAGGGGGCTGGAGGGTCTGCCTGGGGTGCGTGTGGGTCTGGTCTGAAGGGCTGTGGGCCAATTTGGGAGGGGGCCGATCTACCTGGGGGCTCCAGGGTAACTCTGCGGGGTCTGGGGGTCTGGATGCGGGCTAATACGGGAGGGCTGGGGGTCTGCAAGACACTGTGGGGGGCTGCAAGCCTTGCTAGGGGGTATGTGTATCTGCTCAGGGATCTGTGGGCCTCACCTGGGGGGGCTCTGGATCTTTGTGGGGAGTGTGAGTCTTGTATGAGGGGCTGTGGATTTGGGTCTGGGGGCTCTGGGGCTGGCCTGAGGGTCTGCAGGTTCGACCTGAGCAACTACATCATAATTTGGGGAGCTATGGGCCTGCCTGGGGGCTGTACCACAATTTGGGGGTTTCTGTACCACAATCTGGGGGCTGTAGATCCATCTGGAGGCTGTGGACCTGACCTAGCGGGTCCATGGGCCAGTGTGGGGGTCTGTCAGCTAATGTGGGGGGATCTGGGCTGCCTGGGGGCTTTAGGCTTAGCTTGGGGGGCTGCAAGCCTGACCTGAGGGGGTTTCCAGAATTTTGGGCCCACCGGGGGGAAGCTGTGGAACCTCCTCAGGTACCAAGAGCAGGATGGGGCCCAGGACAGGCAGTCCCTATCCCAGCTGATCCCTGTCCTCTTTTGGCAGCTCGTCCTCTCTGGTGCCCTCAGTTGGGTGCCTGTCATCATTCTCCTTGTCCCCATCACCGTCAGAGCCAGTCTCATCCGAGTTGTCCTCCAGGTAGCGGTATCCATGTGTTTTGTGGCGTGGGCGTGGGATGCGGGGCAGCCGGACTTCCACGTTCCACGCCACCTTCCGCTCCATCCACAGGTATGTCCCCACCGCCACCACCAGCGTCAGCAGCATGATGGACAGCTTGGCCTGCAGCACACGGGATTTTGGGATTGGTGTGGGGGTGAGTCCCCAGAAAGCCTGGAATGTCTCAGAGTGGCCTGGGGCATATCTGCGACTTACCTTCATGGGCAGCCCCGACCACAGGTAGACGGTGAAGATGGCCAGGGCCTGCCACCAGTGGTAGATGGTGAAGATGAAGTCTTGGCGCTCCTTTTTCTTGTACAACATTCCCAGAAGGACTGTGGCAGAGACTGGAATCAGTGTCCCCTTCCTATGCCATGTCCCCTTGGCGTGGGAGGGAAAAACAGTGAGTCTGTCCCGTGGATCCAAGGACAGACCACAAACTTGCGGTGCCGGGAGACATAAGGAAAGGATGTGTGGAAAAACCTGGGACAACCCAGGCTGTTTTGGGCACCAACAAGACGTTTTGGGGACAACAGAGGCTGTTTTCAGGAACTTCCCACTACTCACTGCTGATTCCGGTCTTGTTGAGGGCACTGCCTGTGCCCCAGAGCGCAGCAATGCTGTAGAGCAGCGGTGCCTGTGCCAGGTACCGGGGTTCCGGTGCCCAGCAGAAGAGCGTCACCAGGAGTACAACATGGATCAAGGCTCCAGCCAGCAGCGGGATGTGCCGGCGCAGGCGCAGCATGCACAGGGCCAGGCTGGAGCACACCGAGGCGGAGAAGCCGTAGGCCATGAGGAGATACGCCAGCCTCTCCAGCCCGAGGGCACACACGCCGTAGTTCTGCAGCGAGTACGGGCTCAGCATCACCTGGCTCAGCATCACCTGTCCCTGCTTTGTCACCTCCCACCCCATCACAGATCCTACCAGGGAAAATCCAGTGCAAACAAAGAGCACCTCGAAACCGCTGTAGATGAACAACGGGAAGAGGTGCCGCAGGCGATAGTCCCGCATGTGCTTGAAGGGCAGCTGGAAAATGTTGCCCCAGCCGATGCTGCGCATGTCGATCTCCTCCATGGGCCGGTACGCTGCGCCACACAGGACCAGCACCTGTGGAGTGGTGGCAGTGAGGTCCTGCCATCATCCAGCCCATCCCTGTCCCCTCCCATCCCGGTGCTCACCACCAGCATGGCGAGGAAGGCGGCGGCCATCAACGCGCTCTCCACGATGATGAGGTTGACACTGCGGGGAAGGCTCTGCAGCACCGTCTTGTTGAAACCAGGCAGCGTGCCGTGGCTCAGGGTCCCTGCCAGTGTGGCACAGGCCGTGGTTAATCCCAACCGGGGGGCTCCCGGTGCCGCCCCACACCCTGCCCCGCAGCCTCACCGCAGTGCTTCACTGCAAAGAGCGTGTGGTTGAGTTGGTAGAGGTAGTTGTTGAGGAAGAAGACCATGGGCATCTGAGCGCAGACAAAGCTCAACTACAGGATGTAGAGGGGTGCATGCTCAGTGCTGCTGGCATGGTCCCCTGCCCATCCCAGCCACCACACCAGGGCTCACGTGGAAGCAGGAGTAGAAGACGGTCTGGAAAACGATGATATAGGCATTGCAGGCGTCCCGCGGCGCCCGCTGCCTCTCCTTCTCCTGCTCCTCCTTGTAGTTAACGTACTCGTAGTACTTCTGGGCCATCCTGCGGGAAGCAGTGGGTCAGCCGGCGCCCCGTGCATGCCCACCCACCCCCCCGATGCCTACCGCATGATGTAGGTGCCCATGGAGGCCCAGAGGGGCACGATGACCATGCCGATGGCCACTGCGGAGGGCACCAGCGTGTAGTAGCGCTCCCAGTAGTTGCTGGAGACGAAGAGGGCGTAGATGCCGACTGCCAGGAACATGGCCCACTTGGTGCCAAAGAACCTGCCGGGGCAAGGAGCGGAAGTGTGGGTGGCCATCCCAGTGAGCCATGCCAGCTGGAGCGTGGCGGGGCCGTACCTGATGAGGATGGGTGTGTAGAGCAGCGCCACCACGGGTGTGACATTGATGCCCATCAGCACCTTGCGGTCAATGTCCTCCAACTGGATATTGCTGTACTTCACCTCCCGGTAGGTCTCGTCGTAGTGAAGGATCAGCTGCATCTGCAGCAGACCTGGGGGATCCAGGGGTGGTCACCCCATGCCCTGAAAATCCCGAGTTGTTCTGGGGGTCCCTGGGAGGTCCCATACCCAGGTAGACGCTGTAAGTGAGGGTGCCAGCCAGGCTGGCAGCCACCACGTTCTTGATGACACCGAGGCGCTTGCGGCGAAAGTATTTCTGCTCCTCCTCTTCCTCATTGTAGTCAGGGTGAGCACCCACGAAATCATCCAGCTGTGGGTGAATCCAGCTGTCACCCCTTGGGGATGGCCCCACGGGCCTGCATCTCCCCCACGGGTGTCCCCCTGGTCTCACCTGTGCCTCTGTCCCCTCGGTGCCAATCCTGGTGCTTGGCACTGTCTTGGCCCCATCCTGGCAGCCGTCGATGTCCTTCTCCATTGGTGCTTCTGGAGCGCCCTGGATGGTGTCAGGGTTGGAGGGACCCTGTTGGCACTCCTAAGTCTTGCACCCATATGTTTTGCATCCCTGTGACCTGCACACATAGACCCTGCACTCTCATACCCAGCACCCCCAGCCCTTGCACCCCTACATCCAGCACCGTGTACCCATGTACACAGAACCCCCAAGCCCCGAACCTCTGTACTCTGCACCCCTAGATCCTGCACTCATGGTTGCACCCCTGTGCTCTGCACCCCTACACCTTCAGATCCTTCACCCCTGAATCCCGTGCCCCCTGCCCAGCTTTGCACCCCCCAGAACAGCACCTCTGGGCTCAGTGCCCCAGGCTGCTCACCCCTGCCCCCTCCCCGCCCGTCACACCGACCCCAGCCCCGCTTGCCCGTGCCGGAGCCTCTCGGGGCGGGGCAGGCGCTTCTTCCTCTTTCGGTTAGCGCGGGCGGGACGGGGGTGATTAAAGGGGCCGGTCCCGGACCCCCCCCCGCTCCCGGACCCCCCTCCGTGCCCGCACTCCTCAGTGCCCCCCACCCGCGCCCCTTCTCAGCACCCCGGCCTCTGCAGCACTCATCGTACCCCAACCCGCACAGCACCCTGACCCCTCCGCACAGCACCCATTGCCCCCCCATCGCACAGCACCCCAGCCCTACCCCCCCTCTCCGCTTCCCTGCGACCCCTCAGCCTCCCCACAGCTCCCACCAGGCCTCGGGGTGGGTGCTGCCTCCTCGGGGTGCCCCGTGGCGCTGGGTGCTGTGCCCTGCTGCTTTCGCTTCCCCTTCCCGGTCCGGGGGGATGTGCCAGAGTGCCAGAGCAGGGGGACACCCCAATCGGGGGGTGTAGGGCACGTGCCTGCCCTGGTGTCACCCCAAAGCTGGGGCCGGGAAGGTGCCCGGGTGCGTGGCACGGCGGGGTGCCCCGGGGCAGGGCGAGGGGACTGCTGGGCAGGGCGGACAGGGTGACATCTCCGGGGCAGGATCTGGCCCAGCCGGTAGCGGGGGATTCTTGAGATGGGATTCTTGGGAGGGTGCTGGTTCCTGCAGGATAGGGGGATACGTATGGAACAGCCCCAGAAGGGTCATGGCAGGGGCAACGCCCATCCTGAGGGTCCCTCACACCCCAAGCAATGGGAACCACCCTGGGGTGTCGGGGCAAAGAGCCCTTCCTGGGAGCAGGATGAATGGAGTCTATTGATCATGGAACCCTTGGGAAACAGGATGAAGAGTATTGATAGGATCCCTATGGGTCAGGGCACTCATGGTAGCAGCATGGTGGGTGTCTATTGATCATGGAACCCTTGGGAAGCACAATGAAGGGTGTCTGTGGGAACCCCATGGGTCAGGGTGGTCACAGAAGGAGGATGAGGGGTGTCTGTGGGAACCCCATGGGTCAGGGTGGCCATGGGAACAGGATGAGGGGTGTCTGTGGGGTCCAAATGGGTCAAGGTTCATGGTGGTGGTGTGGTGACCATGGGAGTTCCACTATTCCAAGGGGGAGGTCCCATTCCATCCTATCCCATCCCAGACCTTGTCCCTACTGCCAGCTCACGGAGGCGGAGCTGAATCCTTCCCGCCCCTGGCCATGGGGCCCAGCCCCACAGCATTTAGGGACCCCCATCCCGAGCCTCAGTAGTGCCTGCCTGGCCTTGTGCTCCTCCAGCTTCCACAAAAGCTCCCAGGTAAGCACTGCGGGGTCCCCAAAACTGGCACTCCCTGTATGGCACCCCTCTGACACCCCCGATGCTGGTGGGGGCTGTGGGGCACAGGGGGAGGAAGGGTGGGTGTCTGGGCATGGAGAGGGAGAGAACGACAGATGGAGGGCTGCAGCTCTGCCCCTCAGGTTTGTCTTGTCCCTGAGGTCCCCATAGGTGACCCTAAATCAGCAGGGCAGCCTGGGCAGGTCAGTGTCTGGAGGATGGCGATTATCCCGGGAATCCCAGGCATCTCCCAGGGCCCCCGGCAGCTGCCCTGGGATGAGTCACCCCATAACCAGGACATCCCCGAGCACCAAGCTGCCCTTCAAAGGTGCCGCGGGTGACTCCTCTCAGGATCGAGCCGGCATCTCCGGCACTTCCATCCTGGCATAACCCACACAGTGTCTCTCCCCAGGGCCACCACACTCTCCATGGATACTGGCAGCTCCTTCCAACAGCTTGGCATGCAGCAGCACCTCCAGCCCCCCAGGCAGCAGCTCTCGGGCTACGGCAAATGCAGCACTACGGGCAGTGATCCTGGTAAAAATCCTGGGAAAGCTGCTGAGTGCAGTGGAGGCAGCGGGATCGAGAAGGGGCCAGTGCCAATGGTCTGCAGCACTCCATGGTGAGAGCGAGGGGCTGGAGGCAGGAGGGAGACAGGGAGGTGGGCAGGGGAAGCTGTGGCTGGTGCTGGGGGAAAAGTCTGAGGTCTGTGAGCCACCATGTCCCAGCATGACCCAAGGGAGGAAACAGGATCTGCAGGGAATGGTGCTGTGTTGGGCTGCTCCCAGCAGCAAGAGAGACAGGTGTGTGCGGATTCCCTGCGCTGTCCCCAGGGAATGTGGGGTCCAGTTTGATGCTAGAACGGGATAATGTGGATCTGGAATGACATGAAGCTCTGGGGAGGTAGAATGGAGCTGGGTCCTCTCTAACACCCTCATCCCTGCAGTGGGAACCCCTATGCGGGGCTGGTGAGCCACCTGCGGGCATCCTGGCTCTCGGGAAAGACACGGCCCATGGAATACCGTGTAGCACAGCTGGAGGCTCTGGGACGCTTCCTGGATGACAAGAAACAGGAGATCCTGGAAGCCACTGAATTGGACATGGGCAAGGTAAGAGGGGCTGGGAACTGGGGGGCACTGGCATCACATCTTTGAAGTCCTTCGTATTCTGTTGTCTGGGTATTGCATCCTTGTGGGGGGTCTGGGCAAAGGGGTGTCCCTTCCTTGGGGTTCTGATTCCCCCTTGATGTGCTCCCAGGCTGGTGCATCTGTAACTGCTGGATCCCTGCAGATCCAGGGATTGTGGAGGGACTGTGCTGTTGATCCCATCCCTGGTGCTCTGAAACCACAAAAAGGCTCCATTGGCCTATCGGTGACCGGCTGAGTGTTTAACACTCTGGTCTGCATCCTGGGGGTCCATATGACCTCCACAAGGGTGACATCCTGGGGTGCTCCTGGCCAGCCCAGCACACCCGGGACTGCTGGCATTTTGCAATATGCTGGCATTGCACATTCCTCCCAGGGCCTCCAAGGGACTGGTTTCACTGGCACGGTGGCATGGGCAGGGCTCTGGATATGGTTCAGGGTATTGTGGCATGCCAGGACCTCCTGGATGATCTGCTGGTGAAGTGGATAATTGGATAAAATGGATAATTTTAGTGGTCTCAGCTCATAATCTCTGGAAGCATTCAAGGCCAGGTTGGATGGGGCGTGGAGCAACCTGGGCTAGTGGAAGGTGTCCCTTCCACTATGGGGCAGAATTGGATGAGCTTCAAGGTCCCTTCCAATCCAAACCATTCCAGGATTCCAGGAGATAATCCTCACCTCTTTGTTCGGCATCAGTGAAGTGGCCTATGCCCTCAGCAATGTCTTTCCACATCTGCCATCTCCCAAGGCTCCTAATTGCCTTGTTTGTTAGAGGCACGACCTTTTCCTTCAGCCAGGCCTTGATAGACATCAGTGCTCTGAGTGTGTCCATTATCTTTCCTAATTATGCCTAATTAGATCCGGTTGTCGAGTAATGAGCTTGTCATGCAGCCGGGCCCTCATAGCTAGATGGACACTTCACCTGCTCTTACGTAGCTGAGGTGGTGTCTCACCTCCAGCAGTGCCAGTTCCTCTCTGGTGCTGATGATTGGTGGCACTTGGATGACCTCAGACTTAATGTCCTATCTCACAACCTTTGTATCCCATCAAAATTCTTAATGAACCAATCATCTTCCTTGTCCTGGTGATGCCATACTCATCCTAGGTTAAGAACAGCTCCGTTGCTTCACTCCATTATCTCCTGTGCCTGCTGAGCCCTCACATCCAGGAGGGTCCTCGCATCTCCTGGCAGCTGCATTTTGGAGACCTGAAGGTCTCTTAGTAGTGAAAGATCCTGGGAATCAGCAACTAACCTTCCCAACCCCAAAGTGGTGTGGGGATGGGAGGAAGACTCCAATCCAGGCATGTTTTTGGGTTGGAAGAGTGCAAAATATGATGTCACAGCACGGGAGCTTTGTTCCCTCTGCTCTCCATGGTCTTGAAGGGGCTCCATGAGCCTGCTGGGCTATCCCTGATATCTTCACACTTCTCCTGCAGCTATGGAGAGGACCCATTTCTCCATCACAAGGGGTTTAATTAAGGTGTGGTTCTTACTACTTCCCTTCCTTCAGTCAAGGTCCTAAGACTTTGACTAAACTTAAGACTAAAAGGTGCAGCTTTTTTCTACGGGCAATGGAAGGGAGCTAGGGGCTTTGCTTCCAGTTTCAATATCCAAGTGGTAAGGATGTCTTCCACCAGGACCAGCTCTTCAGAAGCTCTGGTCACATTGCTTGGGTGTTCCCTTGGCTTGGGGCTCTGTTGCCAGTTCACAGTGCTGAGCTCAGGAATTTGTTAAATACCAGAAAAATGTTACATTTTGGGGTTTTTTTTCCTTCTGGCCAAATAACTATTTTCATAAAATTTCTGGGTCACTGATATATTCCCTGGGAGTTACAGGAGGTGATGGAAACTTCTGCTGAAGAGATCCTCCTGCTATTCATGTTTGGAATAGGGGAGAGATGCCTCCTGGGGTGGTGGCATTGGCATTGGGGTGATGGGATCTGTGTTAGGGTGAAAGGGTAAATGATGGGGTCAGTGTTGGGTGGCACTTCCATGATGTCTCTCCCCAGCCATCCTTCGAGGCTTTCTTCAGCGAGATCCTCCTCTGCAAGAATGAGCTCAATATCACCCTCAACAACCTGTCCCACTGGATGAAGGATGAGCACGTGGACAAGAACCTGGTAAGAAGGAAGCCCTGAGGCAAGGAAAACGGGGGAGAGGGATTGCTGGTGGGGAAGGCAGTGCTGAGTTCATGTTCTTCCTGAAAGGTGCTGCAGCTGGACTCTGCCTTCATCCGCAAGGACCCCTATGGGGTGGTGCTCATCATAGCACCCTGGAACTACCCCATCCACCTCTTCCTGGTGCCCCTCATTGGGGCCATCGCTGCTGGTGAGCCCAAACTCCCAGTCCCCTGGCCTGGAAGTGCCAGAGTCTCCCCAGGAGTCTTGTCCCAAGAAGTGGTTGTTGTCACCATGTCACTGTGCTGATGTCCCGTTCATCTTCCCCCAGGGAACTGCGCCATCATCAAACCCTCAGAGATCGCCAAGAATACAGAGAGACTCATTGCTGAAACACTGAGCTGTTACCTGGACAATGTGAGAAGTCTTTCTTGTCCTTGTCTGTTGTTACTAGACCATGGTGTTCTTAACCCTGCCTCACATCCACCATCCCCACACATCATCTATGTGCAGAACCTCCTCCTACCATCTTCAGCCAATGTCCCAGCTTCCTGGGATGCTGTTGGTGGGGACAGATGGTGACACAAGGGGATATTTTCTGTTTCCTTGCAGGACTGCTTTGCTGTCGTGACCGGCGGCGTGCCGGAGACCACCAGACTGCTGGAGAACAAGTTTGACTACATCTTCTTCACTGGTACGTCCAATGGGACAGAGCAGAGCCTTGCCTGGATGTGGAGCCAGGATCTGTTGGAGGATCTGGGATGTGTATCTGAGGTCTGGGGGGACCCAGTGCCACATCCCAGAGCCGTGCTATGGCTGGTGGGGTTCCCACCTCAATCCATGTTTTCCCTGCCCACAGGCAGCTCCCCGGTGGGGCGGATTGTGATGACAGCTGCTGCCAAGCACCTGACACCAGTGACACTGGAGCTGGGGGGCAAGAACCCCTGCTACGTGTCTGACACCTGTGATGTGACCAACGTGGCGCGGCGCGTGGTCTGGGGCCGCTTCTTCAACGCGGGGCAGACCTGCATCGCGCCCGACTACCTGCTCTGCACCATAGAGATGCAGGAGAAGCTCATGCCCGCCTTGCGTGCAGCCATCACCGAGTTTTTCGGCCCCAACCCCCGAGAATCCCCGGATTTTGGCCGCATTGTGAGTGACAAACAGTTCCAGCGCCTGCGGGCACTGCTGTGCAGCGGGCGTGTGGCCATCGGGGGACAGACGGATGAGGCCGAGCGCTACATCGGTGAGGCTTGGGGATCACTCACATTTTGGTGAGCACATTGGGGGTTTTCAGCGGGTCTGCACACAGAGGGGAGGCTCTAGAGGGAAAAGCGTTTTAGGAGTGCTTAAAAATGGGTCCTGAGGGGAGGTTTCATCTCCGACCTCTGTGCCTGGCTGATGCTGTTGGGTTTCCTCTCCACAGCTCCCACGGTGCTGGCAGATGTGCTGCCCTCGGACCCTGCCATGCAGGAGGAGATTTTTGGGCCCATCTTGCCCATCGTTGTCATTGCCAACATGGATGAAGCCATTGACTTCATCAACGCGCGGCCGCGGCCATTGGCCGTCTACGCCTTCTCCTGTGACAGCAAGGTGTGTCTGTGGAGCAGAAAAAGTGGGGAGGAAAGTCAGGCACCACTTCCACAAGCCTCAGGATGTGCTCTGAAGGGTCTTTAGAGCCCAAATGCTCTGGGAACATCTGATGGGCAAACTGGGCAATGTTTGCCAAGTGCAAGCCCCTCATCTACCTTCTCTGTTCTCTCCCAGATAGTGAACCAGGTCCTGGAGCGGACGAGCAGCGGAGGCTTCTGTGGCAATGACACCCTGATGCACTTGACACTGACCTCGCTGCCCTTCGGAGGCATTGGTAGGTCCAAAATCCCCAGTCCTGGCCATTGGGAACTAGGTGTGATCCATGGCCTGAGCCATGGTGAGGAATGTGAGTTTCTTCCTGCTGCCAGTGTGGAATCTGTGCTAGATCCCTTAATGTCCCTCAGGAGCCAGGTTGTACCTTCATTCCAACTTTTAGGACAAAATAGTAGGAAGAAAATTCTTATGAAAACATGGAGAACCTCTTACAGGATCTTGGAGATCCTCCTTGGAGAAGAAGAAATTTTTGGTCTCCGGGGCCACCAATTTTTGCTTTCTCAGGTGAAAAGTACTTAGCCCTGGGCTGTGGTTGCAGCAAGGTCCAGGGATATAGGAATACAGGAGTGCTGTTTCCCACAATACTTCCCCATGACTTGATCTCTTCCCAAAATATTTCTGGGATAAGTCCCTTCATTATGTGCTGTCCTTGCTCAGCATCTCTATCGGGGCTGGCAGCTGAGTCAGGCATAATGAAACACCAAACAATTAATTCCTCACCTGCCTGTGGCTCAGGGAACAATATTTTGTACTTCCCATTCCGTAACTTATCTTAATTGAGAATGATTCAGACCAACCACCTTCAATTATTAGGTGAAGCCACTTTAGAGCAGATGAAGGGGCTGAAGTCACCAGGTTGAGATGGCACCAAAGTTTCTATGAGAAGTCACTTAACCTCCAGTTAAACCAGCCACAGGAACTGGGAAAACTGGCATTGCCAATGTGGCTCCAGGTTTTAAGAGTTCTGGGAAGAAGGTTGAACAGCTCCAACCATGGGGAGATATGGTTGGAGCATCATGGAGTGAAATCAAGACTTGCAGAACCCAGCAAAGCTTGTGTAGATAAATGGAGGTGGGTAAAAAGGAGACACCAGGGCCTCCAAATTGCTGAGCTGTAGCAGGATTTGCTGGACTGAGCATCCATATACCTGGAGAGGGCACTGGAAAAATGGAATTCCTCCACCATGTCTGTGCTGCTCAGAAAATCCTGTAGGTGTCTTTTTCCCCTCATTTTGATGCTTGGAGAAGGCATCAGGAGCAGAGTCCCATCCTGAGCATGGTCCTGTCCTGTGTGTGTTCCAGGGAGCTGTGGGGTGGGAAAATACCATGGGAAGTTCACCTTCGACACCTTCTCCCACCACCGCGGCTGCCTGCACCGGAACATGGGGCTGGAGACGCTCAACAGCCCGCGCTACCCCCCCTACACCCAGCAGAAGTTGGGGCTCCTCACAACCACCTTCGAGGTGAAGCGCAGGGGCACCTGCACCCTGCTCTGAGGCTGCCATGCCCTGCTCTGAAGATGCCACGGAGTCAGTGGGAGGGACTGGGATTGTCCTGCTCTCCCTCTTCATCACACTGCCCACTTCTGCACCGTGTCCTTTGCCTCGCTGGAGCATGTCAGACAGCCAGGATGGACAACCCCTCCTGCATCCTTGTGGCCTCTGCTCCAAACTATTTTCCAGGACACAGCTGAAATGACCAAAATCTTTTTCTTACTCCAAACTTCTCTTTCTGGTGAAGAAGCGCTCCCATCAGTCCCATATCCCCTCACATGGACTTTTCCTTTGGAATGAACCTCTCTCCCTCCTCTCTGTTACTCTTTGCTCCATGTAACTCTGCCTGTAGTAAAGACTTCACATCAAACTCTATTCCAACCTCTCTTTGTGCCTCCCTCCTTTGGTTTGGGGGGTGCTGGGAGGGTTGGGGGGCATTTCCTGTCCCAAGCAGTTTTAGCTGGAATGGAGGTGTGGTGGGGCAGGCAGCCAAGGGGCAGGGCAGGAAGCTGGCAGCCACCCTGTTAGCCGGGAAGAGGGAAGCTCTGGAGCCTGGAACTGTCTTCCCACAGCTCCCGGAGAGCGAGGCCAAGAGAGCTGCTGAGGGTCATGGTGGGAACGGGAGTGTGGATGGTGATGCCATGAGGTGAGAGTGTGGAGGGACAGAGGGGTGGCAGGAGGGGTCCGGGTGCTCCATCCTCTCCCTGGAGTTGCAGTTGGATGCCGGGCTGGGACGATGTGGAGCTCTGAGGAGCTGGAATGGGGTGTTGTCCCTCTAACACCACTGTCCCCACAGCAGAACCCCTTTGCAGGGCTGGTGAGCCCCCTGCAGGCATCCTGGCTCTCTGGGAAGCCGTGGCCCATGGAATACATGGCCCAGCTGGAGGCTCTGGGACACTTCCTGGATGACAAGCAGCAGATCCTGGAGGCCACTGCCTCTGACTTGGGCAAGGTCAAAGGGGACAGGAACAGGAGGACTTGGTGGCTGGAGGAGCTGAGGGGCTCCCACAGCCCAGCTGGGGGTGCTTTGTCCTCCTCTCTTGGGTTCTCTAGCCCTGCCTGGGCTCTGCCTCAGGCTTGCAGCCTCTGGATGTGGGAGACTGAGAAGAAGCATGACCCAGTCACTGTCCTCCAGAGTCCATCCCTGCTCTGCCATAGACAGAGGGGGCTATGGGGAGCCCCTTGACGTGGATAGCCATTCCCACACCCATCAGCCTCAGTTTCCCCCTTCCCTGGGCAAATTAATCCCTGGTTTCTGTCCCTGCTCCCTGCCCTGAACTTCCCACCTGATGTCATCCCCTCTCCTCCCACGGGGCTCACCCAGGCTGTGACTCCTTGAGCCCAGATCCCCTGGCTCTGCAGCCAGAGCCTTAATACCACACAAGGCTCACTGTCTTCTCTTCTCCAACCTAGCCCCTTTGGACACCCTCCCTGTTCTTCCTGTTGTCTGCATGAATGGGATCTGGATAATTTTTCCTATTTTTAAGCAACCACTGCTTAAAAACATCATGTTGCAGACACAGGGGGTGCTCAATGCCCTTAGGGATTCAAATCCAGCAAGGGATGTAGAGGGCTCCAGTCCTCACATCCTGGGCAAAACGCTATGGAGTGTTGGGATAAGAGTTGCAGAATATGCCAAGATCACATGCTGCATGCGTGGTGTCTGCAGGCACCCTTTGAAGCCGAATTATCTGAGATCCTCCTGTGCAAGAACGAGCTCCATGAGACCCTGAACAACCTGTCCCACTGGATGAAGGATGAGAAGGTGGGCAGGACTCTGGTGAGAGGGAAGAGGAGAGAGAGGATGGGAGGCAGAGCTGGGTGGGATGGTGTGCAGGGTGGGACCTGATGTGGTGGGTGTCCCACAGGTGCTGCAGCTGGACTCTTGCCTTCATCAGCAAGGACCCCTACGGGGTGGTGCTCATCATAGCACCCTGGAACTACCCCATCTAACTCTTCCTGGTGCCCCTCATCAGGGCCATTGCTGCTGGTGAGCCCAAATTTCCAGTCCCCTGGCCTGGAGGATCCCAGCAGTGCCTTCATCCATAGAAAGGCTGGCTGTCACCACGTCACAGCTCCACCATCCTGTCTGTCTTCCCCAGGGAACTGTGTCATTGTCAAACCCTCTGAGGTGTCCAGGAAGACAGAATGACTTGTGGCAGTAGTGCTGCCCAGCTACCTGGACAAGGTGGGACAATCCCCAATCCCTGTGGCATGACTGGGGCAGAGCTGTGCTTTGTGCCTGCCTCACACACCATCTCCAGCTTTATGTACTGCCCAGCTCCCTTACTCCATGCCCAGCCAGTGTCCCAGCCTCCAGGATGCTATGGGTGGGGACAGATGGTGACAAGAGGGAGCCTTTCTCATTTCCTTGCAGGACTGCTTTGCTGTGGTGACTGGTGGTGTGCAGGTGACCACCAGGCTGCTGGAGAACAAGTTTGACTACATCTTCTTCACTGGTACATCCCATGGGACAGAGTAGAGCCCTGCCTGGATTTTGTGTGAGGAGGAAGATGGGTTCTCTCCAGACATCCCTGCTAAGAAGGCAGGGATTGGGTAGGAGATGTGAGCCAGGATCTGTTGGAGGATCTGGGATGTGTATCTGAGGTCTGGTGGGACCCAGTGCCACATCCCAGAGCCGTGCTATGGCTGGTGGGGTTCCCACCTCAATCCACGTTTTCCCTGCCCACAGGCAGCTCCCCAGTGGGGCGGATTGTGATGACAGCTGCTGCCAAGCACCTGACACCAGTGACACTGGAGCTGGGGGGCAAGAACCCCTGCTACGTGTCTGACACCTGTGATGTGACCAACGTGGCGCGGCGCGTGGTCTGGGGCCGCTTCTTCAACGCGGGGCAGACCTGCATCGCGCCCGACTACCTGCTCTGCACCATAGAGATGCAGGAGAAGCTGCTCCCAGCCCTGCATGAGGCCATCAGTGAATTCAGTGGCCCCAACCCCCGAGAATCCCCGGATTTTGCCTGCATTGTGGGGGACAGGCAGTTCCAGTGGGTGCAGAGTGCTGTGCAGCGGGCGTGTGGCCATCGGGGGACAGACGGATGAGGCTGAGCGCTACATCGGTGAGGCTTGAGGGTCACTCACCTCTTCATCCTTGCACAGAGCATATTTTGGGTTTTGAGAAGATTATGATGGGAAGTAGGTGCTTGGCCAGGTGGCCTTTTGTACAGGAGGTGTGTCCTGGGGGATGATGAAGGTGCCATCTCCGACCTCTGTGCCTGGCTGATGCTGTTGGGTTTCCTCTCCACAGCTCCCACGGTGCTGGCAGATGTGCTGCCCTTGGACCCTGCCATGCAGGAGGAGATCTTTGGGCCCATCCTGCCCATCATCATCATCACCAACATGGATGAAGCCATTGAATTAATCAACAGCCAGGAGTGGCTCTTGGCTGTCTATGCCTTCTCCTTGGATGACAAGGTAGAGCCAAGCCAGGACTACACCTGCCCTGTGCTCCTTTGCAGCTGTATCCAGCCATGTTTGTGCTCCAAGTGTTTCCCTTACATCACACAGACTAGTTAGGAGGTATGGATTGTGTTTGGAAGTAGAGAAATGGGGTGGGAGACCCATGTCCCATCTTCTTTGTGTCACTCCCAGACAGTGAACCAGGTCCTGGAACAGACGAGCACCGGTGGCTTCTGTGGCAACGACACCCTGATGCATGTGACACTGCCTTCACTGCCCTTTGGAAGCATTGCTAGGTCCAAAATCCCCGATCCTGGCCATTGGGAGCCAGGAGTGATCCCACCCATGGTGAGGAAGTGTCTCAGGAGGAACTCTCAGCTACAAAGGGCTCAGTAGTCCATAGGGAAATTCTCCTCCAGAAGCTCTTTGCTTCACCTTGGGTTCTTGGGCTTTGCTGGACATCTATGGAGCACCCTGAGGTACTTTCTCTCCATACTGCCCATCCCAAGCTCTGTGTTCCCTGGATCCACGGAAATGTCTTGCTTAAAGCACAGGGAATTGGGGCTTCAAGCAATCTGGTCTAGTGGAAGTTGTTCCTGCCCATGGCAGGGGGGTGGAACTGGATAATCTTTAAGGTCCTTTCCAAGCTAAACTATTCTGGCATTCCATGATAGAGACACCTGCTTTTTATGGGATAATGTTCACTACAAGCTCCCGGTTTCCGCTTTTTATCCTCTCCTCCCTGTCAGCTGGCTAGGAAGCATCAGTGACCTCCCTTTATCCTTGGAACTGAACCCAAGGCATCATCCCAGCCACGATTAGCATTTTATCAGGAAGACTGACTGGCTCAGGCTGACCCATAGAATTTTATCCCATCTGTTATCAAATGATGTGTAGATTTTGTTTGCTTTTTGCCAGCCTCCCTGGCTTTCCTGTGCTTGTTCCTGGCCAGCCAGCTTTACCTCCCAACATTCATCCTTGGGGCTGGTCCCACCTCACCAAAGGCACCTTGGTCATTGTGCCTGTCCACCCCTGCAGTCTTGCCCCTTTGCAGCAGGGCTGGCTCCAGCACGGATGGGATGTCTTTTGGAGGGTATTCCTGTGGGAGAGAAGCTCATCTGCTGGGAGCATCTTGCTGCTGCCATCACCTCATCAGTGACACCCTTCCAGTTGCTAATTATGTTAATTGAAATGGTAAAATCCACTGACAAGAGAGTTTTTGGGAATTTCTCCACCTTCCAGCCTAATCTTCCCACTACAAACATCCACTTGGGTGTGCACTAGGTCACCCCTGTGGTCCTCTTCCTCACAGAAGCTCATCCATGGCTTGGAAAGCAGCCGGATGAGGCATGGTGCTGCTTTTACAGAGCTGGGAGCTTAATTTTGAGTTCTTTGACCCAAAGGATGGCCAGATCCAGCTACCCACCAGGGTCCTGTGCTGTGTATTCCAGGGAACAGCGCCCTGGGAATGCACCTGGGGAAGTTCAGCTTTGACACCTTCTCCCACCACTGTGGGTGCCTGAAGTGTGGGATGGGCCGGGAGTCCCCCAATGCCCTGTGCCACCCCCAGTACAGCCAGCAGAAATTTGGGGTCATCCAGGCCACTTCCAAAGTGACATGTAAGAATTACTGTGCTCTGCTCTGAGGGTCTCCACATCCCACTTGGAGTCTGCCCACTCAGGACATCTCTTGCTGCTGGTCCCCCACATTTCCCTCCATCCCAGTCCCATATCCCTCTTTTCTGGCTGTTTGGAGCTTTATTACCACTGGTAACACCAGAGCAGAGGGGTTTACTATGCCCCTCGTTGCGTGAGAAGGTCCACAACACCCTGATCCCAAATCCTTGAGCTGGAATGATATTGGTTTCTCCTGCTCTATGATCCCAGTTTCCTTTGCCCCATGATCTCAGCGCCCTTTGCCCCATAATCCCAGTTTCCTTCGCTCCATGCTGCTCCATTTTGGGGAGCTGGTTGTGCCGGTGAAGGGATACCCATTCCTGCTAGGCGGTGGGTTGTCCTGGCTGAATCCCACGAGGATCCCCCTGGGTGGGAGGATGGAGATAACTGGTCGAGGGAGCTGAGATAAAGACAGTTTAATAGGGAAGGGGAAACATCCCCGGTGCCCCCCTCCATGGACTGTGCCGGGGCTGAGGGGTCGGTGCCAACGCTGAGCCCGCCAGAGGCGCAGCCGGGCTTTGTACTGAATCCAAGTGTCTGGGCCGCTTCACCTTCGAGACCTCCCGGAACCTGTGTCCCGAGCTGCTCCAGAAACCGGAGGGAAAGCTCCGGATCTCGGGAAGCCGTGGAAGAGCGAATGCTCCGCGCCGGCACCGTAACCACGCGTCTCCACCGAGAACACGCGCTTCCGCTTCCGCCCGCCCTTCGGACACGCCCCTCCTCCCTCCCCGCCAATCGCCACGCAGTAGGGTCACGCTCCGCCCAATCAGTGACGCTTCTCCTCTTTCTTCCCGCCCCGTGCGGGACGCCCACCAATGAGAAGGGCGTCCGCCGCCGTTCGCCCCGCCCACGACGCACCGCCGCACGCGCATGCGCAGTGCCCGCGGGGGCGAGCAGGGGTCAGGACGGCGGAGGGCGCTTGGGGCCGGTGAGGTGGGAAAGGGGCCCGGGGGAGCTTGGGGGGCCCAGGGCCGGCCCAGGGCTGTGGGCGTCCCGGTGGCGTGTAGTGGCCGCCCAAATCCCGCGTGGGGCAGAGGGAGGGAGCCGGACACTGCGCTAGCCTCCGCCCCCATCCTCTCCGAAGGGACACGCAGAGGCTGAGCGGGACTTTGGGGTGACAGGAGAGGACGGCATACCTGGGTGGCCCTGGGAGGCGGGCTGGGGGAGCAGGATGGTCCCTTGGGGGAACAGCTGAGTCCCTTTTAGGGGGTGGACCAGATACCCGAATCTCCTGGGGGATACTCTTGGGTCTCTTAAGAGGGAGCTGCAAGGAGGGGCAGGATGCCTGGGTGCCTTGAGAGGGGTTGGCAGAGGAAACGGGATGCTTAGGTCCCATGGGGGAAGCACTTGTGGTCCCTTATGGGGTGTTGGCACAGGGGTGCCTGGGGGTCCAGGTCGCTTTGGGTGGAGGGGTGGGAATCAGGGTGCCAGTATCCCCTGTGGGAAGTGGGGGAGCCCTGGCTGCCTCAGTCCCTTACTGTTAGTTGCTGAGGTTCTCTCTGCACCCCAGGACTGGCCATGGCAGCGCTGCGACTGCTGTACCAGGCTGCCCGTGCAGGTGAGGCCGCCCAGGAATCCCCAAACCTCCTGAACCCCCCAAACCCCACTGTGACCCTGCTGACCCTCCTGTCCCTCCCCAGGCCCCCTGGCCCCACTGGGCTCCCTGCGCCCGCTCAGCACCAGCACCCCCAGGGACTGTTACAGTGAGTACAGCCGTGCCACCCCCGTGGGGGCTCAGCTCCCAGCCCAGGGCTCTGCAGGGCGGCCACAGCTCCCCTCTTCCCGCAGAGTATGTCAACATCCGAGAGCCGGCCATGGACATGCGATCCATCACTGACCGCGCCGCCCAGACCCTGCTCTGGACCGAGCTCGTCCGAGGTGAGACCCTGCTCACTCTCCCCATTTGTGGGGTGACATCGCCTCCCGAAATATGTCATAACCCCTGTTTCTCCCTCACAGGCCTGGCCATGACCCTGAGCTACCTTTTCCGTGAGCCGGCCACCATCAACTACCCGTTTGAGAAAGGCCCGCTGAGCCCGCGGTTCCGTGGGGAGCACGCGCTGCGCCGGTACCCGTCCGGGGAGGAGCGCTGCATCGCCTGCAAGCTCTGCGAGGCCGTGTGCCCGGCACAGGTGAGACTTCCTCCCCGTCCTCCTCCTCACCCGGGGCTCCAGCCGTGACAGTGTCCCTGTGCCAGGCCATCACCATCGAGGCCGAGCCCCGCGCCGACGGCAGCCGCCGCACCACCCGCTACGACATTGACATGACCAAGTGCATCTACTGCGGGTTCTGCCAGGAGGCCTGTCCTGTGGATGCCATCGTGGAGGTGAGTGGGGCCTGCAGGGGGGACTGCAGGGATTCCCTTTTCCCACCACGGTGACCCCAAGGGTGACCCCGTCCCATCCTCGCAGGGCCCCAACTTCGAGTTCTCGACGGAGACGCACGAGGAGCTGCTCTACAACAAGGAGAAGCTACTCAACAACGGCGACAAGTGGGAGGCCGAGATCGCGGCCAATATCCAGGCTGATTACCTGTACCGGTGATGGCCCCCACCCGCCCCCCAAATAAAGCATTTGGGGGTTCACCCCCTCTGTTGGCACTGTGGGTGCCAGCCCCTTCCCATAACTCCGTGTCTGTTCCTTTTCAGCACTGGGGTCAGAGCCCCCCAACCCTTGGGGGGATCCCACCCCGGGTGTGTGGTTGTGTTTTGGGGAGTCCTTCAGGTCCTGGGGATGCTGGCATCAATGTTGGGGTAGGGGATGGGCTGCAGGGAAGAGTGTGAGAGGTGGAGGGGGGGCAGGCAAGGATGGAGGAGCAGTGCTGGTGGGATTTAGGAATCTGGGAGGGTCATTTCCAGCTTCTGACAGCCAGGATGGGGGGACCCTGGTGATCCTGGCAAGGGGGGTTCACAATGGTACTGGTGTGAGGGTCCCAGTGATGCCTGTGATCCAGGTGATCCCAGCAGAGGGTCCTGATGGTACCAGTGGGGGAGCCTCCAGTGGTATTGGTATGGGTGTCCCGGTGATGCTG